AATAAAGTATATGGGCTACAGTTGAAGCATAAGCTTCAACGCACTTTGGACGCCGGCACTGTGAGACGAATTTCTGGCGCGCCGTGCTATTGCTTTTCGGCATAAATACCACACGATCGATCGCGCCGTACTCTCTCAACGCCGTCTAACACGTGTTGCACTACTGCGGGGCTCTATTTTAGCTTATCGTGTATAACATGCCTGCTGTACAGTTAAATCTGCATTTTGATTGCTATGTGGGGTTTAACGTCCCAAAACCACCATATGACTATGATAGACACCGCAGTGGAGAGCTCCGGAAATTTCGACCACCTGGGGTTTTTTTAACGTGCACTCAAATCTGAGCACATGGGTCTACATCATTTCCGCCTCCATAGAAAATGCAGCCGCCGCAGCCGGATTCGATCCAGCGACCTGCGGGTCAGCAGCCGAGTACCTTAGCCACGACACCAACGCGGCGGCGCGAACCTGCATTTTACAGCTGGCCCTACGACGTATACAATTTTGCAAAAAGACAGCCTGTCATTTTATAATCGGTTCTGGAAATCGCAAAGTGGCGAAAGTCTTTCAGCGTGTATATAATAACTGGGAAGTGGACCACATGCCCCGCCGCGGTGGTCTAGTGGCTAAGGTACTCGGCTGCTGACCCGCAGGTCGCGGGTTCTAATCCCGGCTGCGGCGGCTGCATTTCCGATGGAGGCGGAAATGTTGTAGGCCCGTGTGCTCAGATTTGGGTGCACGTTAAAGAACCCCAGGTGGTCGAAATTTCCGGAGCCCTCCACTACGGCGTCTCTCATAATCATATAGTGGTTTTGGGACGTTAAACCCAATATATCAATCAATCATCAATCAAGTGAACCACATTGCATTGAAGAGACACAGTCGTTATAGTTATAATTAACGAGGTTACATAGAATTTTCTGAACGCACACGTGCGAACTATGTTTCCAGTGCGTGTCCCACGATTCGGGTCAACGGTGAACTTACCTTTTCACCAGGAAGGAACAAAGATAGCTGTTTGTCGGATTTGAGGGGATGCCTCTTCACATCGCCGCACAAGCACTGAATCACTTTCGTAGTTTTCCAGCTTAAAAGGGCGACCGAATACGCGTAAGTCCTGCCGCCGATCTGATACGGGCAATCGAATGCGCTGCAGCCACTCAGTGCGCCTGCTGCCTTTCTCAGATGCACGGTTTTGTATCTTCACTTGCCGCCAATCAATGGACTTGCAGCCCACAACGAGACTGGTGTGATGTTCTGTGGTGTCACAACAACCGCGTGATGCCCACTCGTTACGCAGCTCTCGTCAACATGGAGCGTGTTGAGTCCAAGCAGACAACGTTCGCCGTTTGCCGGAAGTCTCTAATCTAAGTTGTACACCACGATCATCTTTTCTTTCTTTGTAAAACATTTTTCAGCAATATCAGTTATAAAGTGTTTTACAAATTACGAACAGCATTTGTTCGCTGTTTATTAATAAAGAAATACCTGTGCTGCGTGTTCCACAGCCCCTAAGATCAGCTGAAAACGATGACGTCAATAGAGCAGATCGCGTCCCTTGGTGTGTGGGCAGTTGAAAACGCGTTTGGCTGAGTCGCATCGATCTGCAGTGATCTCGAGTGATTCGCAGCTCTAAAGCTTTCTATTAAATTACACAGTTCACGCAGAGAGCTCAAATCGGTCTCTAAATTACGCTTGGAATTGGGTCTGCCGGCCCAATGTGTTAGTAAAAATCGCCAAAACCATTTCAGAGTCCCTTTAAAACAGGGTGAAGGCGACGTAGAGCGATGCTCTAAGTTTCCGTCACCGGCACGGGGACGGAACCCCACTCCTCATTGTACCCGGGCCGGTTCCCCCTCAGTGCATCTGACGAAATGAATAAATCACGGAGAGCACAAAAAAAAAACACTCGGAAAGAATGACTGGGTGTTTACAAGGTCATAGACAAAGGAATTATCGTGTACAAAATTGTGCTGCTGTCGGCCTTGCAACCACCGTCGTCTGTCCGTACACAACTCTGTCGCGTAGTATCTACGTTTTTATGACGTCACATAATGAGACGAGTAGTTTGACGGCTGCGAAAAATAGGATTTAGTCGGGGAGTGCCCTCATCTTTGTTCCACTTTCCAGTGGGCCTTCTTTTTTCTCCTTTCACTGGCCTATCACTTCAGCCACGTATTCTCGGCTGTCTTTCGGTCGATTGCGTGTCGCGCGTGGGGGTTCTTGCGCGAGAGCACGGGGCGACGAATCGAATGATTTTATTCTCTACCCTTTCATACCTCTTATTGCAATAGCAATTATATGGACACTCTCGGTTGAATTTTGCCGTCGGCGTCAATGTGATGCACCGTATATGTATACGTCTCCATAAATGAAAAGACAAGAAAGAAAAAAAAATGCCGTAAAAAGCACTCCGACACGCGGAATCGAACGTGGGACCAGTGCGCCTTGAAAGCGACGGATTAACCACTGAGCCACCCTAGAGAACGTTGTGTACTGTTCAAACTGCAAGCTATTTATATCTACTACTTACCTCTGCTCTGTTTTTGGCATCACGAGAAAGATGGTGCAATGAGCGCACGTCGCGAAATCACGCAGCGGCGCCAGCTCTAATCTCCAACGCGTACTTTGCCCGGCTTAAAGAAGGAGAGAGAAGCTCTCTCGCTCGCCCTTATCTCGCGGTGGCGAGGAGGGGAGGATCGTACGGTAAGGCTGGCCTCAGACTTTACGTGGAACAATTCTACTGTAGTTACATGGCGCACAAAGGTAACTGCAATCATTGCAGTCGGCGTTCGCGAAAATCGCGCGCTTTTCAGATTCAGAGAAGTAACAAGTGAGACGCTTATTTGTGTGCATCCATACCTGTGAGTACGTTTCGTGCATAATTTGTGCGCGAGAAATGTGGGGCAGGTTTCGATCTGCTTTCTATTCGGCGCGTGACCTTTCAAGTTTTTGCTATTGTGTTCATTGCTTCGCCTTTGCGGCAAAGCTGTGACTTTTTTCTGTTGTCTGCAAAGCAACACTTACATACATGACATTTAATGCACGCCCTCTACCCAACGACACATGGCTACATGTGCCCGCTCTGCAGCGTACCGGACACCCAGGCAGACTTGCTCCTGCCAGTGCCTTGGAAACCGCGACTTGCAACTGGAGCGAAACCAAGCCCCGAGAATAAATGACGACGACCTAATGGAAGCATGGAGGCCAAGCTCGTGCTCAAGGACCTGGAAGACCAGCGACAACTGGTCGTCAGGGCCAAGAGGTCAGTCGAAGCCACTGGGTTCGTTGACTAGGGAACCCTTGCACCTTAGGGTGATACCGGGCCTGGCTTGGAACACTGTCCCTAAATAAACATTTATTTCTCTCTCTCTCCCTTGAACTTACATTTCCCCATCCCGTGAGCAGGGCTGTGGAGGTGCCCTCCATTGAGAGAGGCAGTAACGGCACTGCGCTTATTTCTTCATTCTCCCTGTTCAAAGTCACTTCGCAGCGGAACCTCACCATGGGTTCTACATGGGCGGAAACAAATGCTTTAAGAATAGAAACCAAGAAAACCAACTTCATTAACTAAAAAAGAAGCTTTTAATTTCACGAAATAATGGCAGTCCGCCATTGTGAAATATTTCTTAGGCTCCGTTCGAGCATCTGGGTCGCGCGAAAGATTTTCGCTTCAAAAGGCAGTGCCGGAGAGACGGGAAAAATAAGCTTTTTGTTATTCTTATTGTTATTTTAAATGTGCAATAATAAGTTCCTGTTCTTGAAAAATAAAGGTTCTGGCGAAGCGACATGTAAACAATTACAAACAAGAACATTGAAATAAATCAATGCATCAGTCGGAGCAAGCGTTCATTCACTTTTGAAACGGGTACAATATGGGTATACCCTAAAATACTTCAGCCAGCTTTGTCTTATTTTGTGGTGAAAGCCAGACAAAATTAGACATATAGAAGCAGAAGAGGTAAATTGTGGTAAAAAGGGATGGATGTGAGAATAAAGCAAGCACATTATGCGATTCCACAACTTGCCTGGGCATGAAATGGTAATATTTTTATTTCCTTTATTAGGTGACTGGTGAGAGTTCATTGTGTCCTAAGCCATCCGCAGTGCACCTATATGTGTAGGGAGCTTTAGCATTGCAAATTCGTTTATATTGTTTTAGGGTGCATGCATCGGCCGTTACATGGTGAATGAGCCCCATGCCTGCAAGATTCAAAACATTGAACACGCGGTTAGTAAAACATTGAACATCCCCATGACTGCACATGTTAACTGCATTGATACCTTGACCGATATATATATATATATAGATATATATATATATATATATATATATAGTGCAAATTTAAAGCTGCTAATTTATTTTATATCCAGAAAGTAATATTTGTGGCATGTCAATCTGCACAAGCCTCGAGGTTGCGGGAACTAAAGAAATAGTGACTACCGCTCTCATGGTCACCTAAAAAGGGGGGTGGGTGGCGGTGAAGAGTCCCTCTCACGTTCACTTGTTAAGAAGGGGAGAACAGCGATGAACCTACACCCCCCCTCCTCATGAAAGGAAATCCTGCGCACGGTTATGATTGACAATACAAGTGTCGAAATTTGTGCGCGTATTTTGATTGCGCGAAAGCAAAGCTGAGCGAAATATTATTACAACTATTTGATCACTACACTGCTAATTTGCCTTCGAGTTTCGTATACAAGCACAATTCGTTTATAACAGCAACAAGGAGTGAAGCAGTGAATGACCGCAACGTGCAGTGAACGAAAATGTCAGGTATTTCTAAACTAAGTACAGAAGTGAATTATTAACACAAAAGGCAAAAATAAAGACAACGGATTCTTTAAGATACTAATGGGACTACTGCTTACTAACTAGTCATTGCATGTATCACGAAACGTTCCTAGACATAGGCTGTGTGCTCCAGCCGACGTTTTGGCAAGTGGACTTGTCTTCAAGGCTGCGAACGATTTCTTTAGCGCTTGCGCTTATGTGTTTCTACACTATCCTGGCATCTTAAGAAAGCAGAAGGTGCCACCATGAGCAATTGAGTGTACCGAAGCACAAGAGATGTTTCATGAAGAAACAAAAAAGGCCAGGGTGGGGGGGAGGGACAACATACCATTTATGGTTTTCAACAGAAATCACCACTCAAGTATGGTAGATTTGAAATTCCTAGAAGAAGTACTCAACTTTGGTTTTTCTTGTGCATGTACTGTATCGGATGAATGCAAGAGCACCCTAAGTAACGTTTATACCTGCTCTTTATATCTTCTGTCGCTTGTGAACTAGAAGTGTGACCAAATTATGTAAAGTTTGAGATCGTCGAACAGCAGCGTAGACCAATAATGTTTACCATACTTTATACATGTTCGTGAGTGCTTGTGTGTATACATAAAAAAAATTGAAAAAAAAATTCGGAAAAATTTGTACCCCTTTCTTTGGCTACGCCACTGTTGTCGAAGATGGGACCTGATGCGTTAAATGTCCGTAATTCTTTCACAGTGTCCACGCAGTTCTCGTTTAATTGAACATTAGCAGTTTGCTCCATTTCGCCATCGAACGATTTGTGACAATAATACCTGTCAGTCAAGTTGACAACGTTAGAACTATTACAAGTAAAACTAACATGTTTAATTTGTGAACGTTATGACTTGCGCTGATTTTAACAATACCATCATCTTCATGTTCAGGGTGCTTAGAAGTCTTACGCATCTTGGACAAGAACAAATATATGCGGGCCGTAGAATGAAGGTTTACTTTTCATGCAATAACATCTCCTTAAAATAATTATTGCGGCGAAAAACGATCATTGGGAAACACTTGTCCAATATGCAACATTAGTAAATCATGACTGCCTTAGAAAAGAGTACTACCCGCCTTAGAATGCTATTCACCTTTTTAGAGCAGACAATATTGTTTGCTTCAATCGCTTCACAATCTTTTACTCTGGGTTTACTTTTGTGTAAGCATGTCTCTTTGCCAGTAGTATCCGTAAATAACAGGCATCATGAACCTGTCTACATATACGACAAGGTGGTTTGATCGCCAACAAAAAAAAAATTAACTGTGATCTTATTCAAGCTGGAAATTTGAAGTGACTTTCATCATGCATTGTTTTTGTGGGTGGCCAAATGGAGTGCACATAAATACAAGAGCTATTGAGTGGAAAGTACAATTTTTTTTATTATGAGCTTTTACTCTAAAGAGATAGAGCTAAGCAAACTAGCAGCCTACCTTGAGGTCAACACAAAACAGTAAGCTATCATCACAGTGAGAATGATGAAATAATCTCGCAATGGACAAAGACATTTCCCCAGTTCTCGCAAGAGTCCTAACGAGTGTTTTGGAAAGAGTCCTCCGAGTACAGTGCGTAACACGCGGGAGACTCATGCTACGGGATCATAGAGGCTGGTGGCGAGCTTTGCGAGGGGCAAAGACTACGCGCCGTGACGCCGCTACACGCTCCTCTGTATGTCGATGGTGACTACCACGGTTTGAAAACATGAAATAGGTCCACAGAAGAAAAAGTTATTGATACGAGGGTGATAAATGTAACCAGAAACCTCAACGACAGGCTTAGGCATGCATACCGGAAATATGTGACACACAGTGAATGGCAAGAAGCATGAGTGCTCCTAACTTACAACGTGAATATTTAACAAACGAAAATTGTCACTGAAGAAAGGTGCTATCCCGCCGCTCTTGTATGGGTCCTCCGTCGGCGTATACTTTGTTGCGCCCTCGGTAGTAAAGTCCATCATCAAAACAAAAGACTCCAGCGTTCTTCTTAGTATGAATGTGATAATTTTGTTCTTAAACGATGAACTTGACTTGAAGGAGATCTGCAACTCTGCGGGACCAAATTTCGCTTGGATTCTGAAAAAAAAGGTGCAGAAAGCGTGTGAGGAGACGCTTATGTTGAATAAATAGTAACAAAATTTGAGGCTTAAGCTTCAGGGCCTTCCATCATTTTTTTTTGTTAGGTCGGCGTGCTAATGAGAACTCAAAAATATTTAAAGCTGAATATGCTGCACCGACCATTGTAATTTCATGAAGCATTAAAGCGTACTTGTGTGGCTTTGATGGGATAGCCTATGACAAACCAAAAGACTCCATTTTTCTAAGTATGAAGGTGATAATTTTGTCTTTTACTAGTTATTCGAGTTTAAGGAGCGAGTAAAAAATACATTATTATCACGATGTTTTAAGTATTCGATATTAGGGTGTCTTGATTATGCTCGTGTGGCATAAGGGCTCATTTGTTCAAATAGGTGTTGAATGGCAGCAAATAAAGCCTCAAGTACGGAATAAACGCCACGGCAAACGAGTTTATCTTCTCGCGAAGATGAAAAAAGACTATTTTTAAGTCAGTGTTTGTCGTCAAGTCTTTTCTTTCCGTCCCTGTATATGTATTTATGCGCTGCGATTCACCAGCAGATAAACTACGCGAGATGAGATGTTGTGAACGACAGACACACAGATGAATAACACAGCGAGAGCATGACCACTTCAAAGAGCTGGTGAAAGCAAGCCTGGTACCACTACCCCCCCCCCCCCCCCAAGAGCCAGCTTCCAGCGTTTTTCGGTATTTTTGGACATGATGCCCCACCAAAAGCCTGTGCAGTGGTAACTGTGACTTTCGCACAACCTATGTATACACGTAGTCCTACAATTATTAGCAAAGAGCGGCAAATAATACAAGCAATGTAATCCTGTATTTGGCTCAACTATTTGTCTGCAGGAAAGCATGAAAGGAGACACCTGGCGTCGTCGCCTATATAACAGTGGTCGTGTCACACTGCCAAGCTCAAGAACACAGGTTTGATTATAGGCCGCAACGAATGCATTCAGATGCGGCTGAAATACTGGAACACCCGTTTACTTTGTGTGCAACTTGACCAGCCCCAGCGGGAAGAAATAAATATGGTGTCTTTTACAGCGACGTGCCTCTTTACGATAGCGTGTTTGCGCACGTCGTGCACATCAATATTTAAACAAGCCAGCCCATACTTCCTACTTACACATCCGTTTCGTTGAACGCGAGGGCTTCACCTTGAAACTTGACCGTTGTGCCGACCTGCAGTCGTAGATCTGGGAACCAGAACGACGGCCCCTGCATGAAGACATTGGTATTGACACCGTACTTATATTGCTGACTGCTTTCATGTTGCGCTGTTTGGCATGGTTGGCTTCACAGAAATAAAGTTGCCTTTCACAGAAATGTTCTGGGAAGACAACAGCGAGCGTCTGATGATGATGAACATTTATTGAGCCCAACATGATGCATTATGCGCGCAGGCACAGGACGGGGCGGTTACCTTGTTGTGGGACCCGTATTTATCTAGCAGCTCTGAGCCCCTGTTCGTCAGTGCACGCTAAGTCGGTAGGGTAGGGATGGATAACAAGGTCTCCGATCGCTCAAGGGGTTGGGGATTCTGGGTGTCAGCGGAAAGGGACGGTGGAGGATTCTCAAGTTCTGTGCAATCTGCCAAGATGTGCGGCAGGGTGCCATTTTCTATTTTACAAAACGGGCAGAGCGTGTCGTGTTCAGCAGGGTACATGCGGTTCCGCAGTATGGGATCCGCAAGCGATCCCGCCTGCGCTCAACGCAATATCATCTGTTTCCTGGTCAGGTCGGGGTGCGGTTCTGGTAGTCTGCACCTTTCCTCTCGGTACATGTGGGTAATCTCCCGAAAGCTGGTAACCTGGTGTGGTAGCTTTTCCGGCTCATGCTCGGCCCGGATCGATATTTCTCAGACATGGTAGTCGGCAATTGTGTTGCCTGCTACCTGCGAGTGAGCCGGGACCCACACGAGCTCTACGGCTCTTCCCGGAGGCTTGCACTTGTGTAAATGGCTCGAGTCACGCATGAGAATACCCCTCTGCGGAAGCGTACCAGAAATTTGGAGAAACGGAAGAAAATGACGCTTGAACCTAACAACTTTTCACTGGGAAGTTAAATTGCAGTGCGGATTCACGCCGGATGACAACAGATTCCGCGTAATAGCCCGGGGAGGCTGAACGCAGACATAGCTCGGCACTACGTTGAACTCGGCGTCCTTAATGGGTCCCTGGCCTGCAGCACGTTTAAACGTAATCATTGAATTGCTTCAGTGAAAGAGACTATTGCCGCACAAATTGACTGCCACAAGAATATGTAATAGTCAAAAAATACAAGTGGAGTTACAGGGATCTGTCGCATGCTTCAAGCGCTTTTCCTCAGCCTTCTTAGGGGGCTGAAAGCTGCGCAAGGCTGATAAGGGGGCTGGAAGATGCGTCCCTTCATTAGCGAGAGAGACGGTCTGAAGCATTTTTCTTTCTTTTATTCTTCTTATGCGTGACTTATTTTAAGTGTGACCACTGCGGTGGCAACGGCACATTTTCAGCTGACGAGGCTAAAATCCGCTAAATACTATGCACTTTGGGCTTATGGTGCCATAAATTTGGTATAGAAGGTCAATTCTGACCAGAAGAGGGGAAGGTTCTTTGCTGAACTTGAAAATAAAATGCAAATTAAAGGCTACTAGGTGCGCTATATTGATCGGCTCACTTTTTCTCAGCAGCGCCGATTAACCAGCGGCAGTGTGTCCTGAAACACGCGGAAAAGGTGTTGCCGGGCCTTTTATCACAAAGATCACACTATTCTATGTTTTTACGAACAAAGCTGTAGTGGATGAATAACGACTAGGTAATACCTTGCCAAAAACTGGTATAACTTGCTAATACGCCCTTTGCGCACTGATTATAATCTACGAAGGCTTTGTTGTACGCCCCCCCCCCCCCCCGCAGTGGTCTAGTGGCTATATAAGGTACTCGGCTGCCGACCCGCAGGTCGCGGCATCCTATCCCGGCTGCGGTTGCTGCATTTTCGATGGAGGCGAAAATGTTGCAGGCCTGTGTGCTCAGATTTGGGTGCACGTTAAAAACCCCCAGGTGGTCGAAATCTCTGGAGTCTTCCACTACGGCGTCTCTCATAATCGTGTGGCGGTTTTGTGACGTTCCACCCCACATATCAACCAATTGTTGCACGAATATAGTGGGTAAGTGTGAAGAAGGTGATTACGCCTGAAGAGGGCATTTATAGCAACGCTGTCTTTATATCTACAAAGCCAGGGCTCTGTGCTTTAGGGGGCTTCTCGAGAACATTGTGCTGTTTATGCCGCTCTTCGAGGAAGGAAACAAAATTAGTTTCATGGGCTTAATCATGCCTTTAGAAACAAGGTACCATTCAGATCAAATATGCAATCAAGTTAAAGAAACTATATACAGACGTAATTTATTGTATATATTGTATGAACGTGAAAACAGTAACTTGGATGAAAAGATAAATTGCGCCAGGCGGGAACGAACATGCAACCCACAATTTCGCATGCTACCACTCGAGCTACAGCGGCGTTCTTCCCCCATCCATTTCATTGTGGATATGGGTGCATTAATACTTGGGAGTGTTAGTTCATGGCAGCGAGTGCAGCACACTCTTGTTCGGCCGTCCTTCCGTCCGGGGGCAGTGCTAGGATTTAAATGCGAATCATTTCTCAGCAAACTTCGGCGACATTGAGCGTATCTATCTATCTATATCTATCTATCTATCTATCTATCTATCTACTATCTATCTATCTATCTATCTATCTATCTATCTATCTATCTATCTATCTGTCTATCTATCTATCTATCTATCTATCTATCTATCTATCTATCTATCTATCTATCTATCTATCTATCTTCTATCTATCTATCTATCTATCTATCTATTTGGCCGCTTACGAGTTTTAGCTCTCCTGGCCGTTTCGATAATGGTATCAATACCGAAATTGGTTTGAGATAGCACGACTGTACGAAAAGTGTAAGTTAATAGTCACAACATGGAAATCATGACATCTATATCAAGGATGTCATAAACTACATTTTATGGTCTTGCGGCTTTTGTGGCACTTGCGTTCACATGTCATGCTGCAAAACTGGTATGGTATGACATGACTGCAGGGCGAACATACGTGACATACCCTAACGTGGAAATCATGACAGGCATGTCATGCAAATCATGACTACAAGACACACTCGTGGTGCGCTCCTGGTCGTTTCGCTAGCTTGACATACACCAAACTTGGTATAACGGAATGTGAATGGATGACGAAGGATTATGAGTGGGGCAAACTTGATAATCATGACATGCGTGTCATGTGAAACATGACTACATGCTACGCTCATAGCGCGCTCGTGGCCGTTGCACTACCTTGACATATACCAAATTTGATATCCCGTGACGTGAATAGACGATGAAGCTAAATGACACGTCCAAACATAATAATCATGGCATGGATGTCTTGTATTCTTATGTAAAACATGACTAAATGTCGCGCTCATGAGTTGCTCGCAGCCGTTTCGCTAGCTTCACACATACCAAATTTGGTGTTACGTATTGTCAATGAATGACGAATCTATATGACTGGTGCAAACATCATAATTATCACATGCGTGTCATGTAATAACATGACAACGTGCCATGCTATTGAAGCGTTCGTGGCCATTTCGCTAGCTCCACATATACAAAACTTGTATCACGTGACGTGAATGAACGACGAAGGTAACTGACACATCGAGACATGATAATCACAATAAGCGCGTCATGTAAAACGTGACTATATGCTACACTCATAGCGTGCTCGTGGCCATTCCGCAAGCTCCACATATACCAAATTTCATATCACCTGACATGAATAAACTATGACGGTAAATGACACGTGCAAACATAATATTCATGATAGAGAAATCATGTACTGAAAAATTTACGCCCGCCTCGTAACGTTGTGCTGAATTCAAAATGACATATCAACTTTTTTTCATTTGTGCTTCCCATATCATTGATTCCCACTGTTCATTGGATCTTCGAGGTTTTTTTCAACGTTTTCATATATATATATAGATACGAATACATATACGGTGAGTGACGGGGACGCCTACGGAAACATCGATGCCGACGCCTGCGACAAAACCTAGCCTAGAGCGTCCATATAATTGCTATCGCTCTTATTGATTGATATGTGGGGTTTAATGTCCCAAAACCACCATATGGTTGTGAGAGACGCCGTAGAGTAGGGCTCCGGAAATTAAGTCCACCTGGGGTTCTTTAACGTGCACCCAAATCTGAGCCCACAAGCCTACAGCATTTCCGCCTCCATCGGAAATGCAGCCACCGCAAGAGATAGGCGGGCGATTTCTCCCTCTCATCACCGTTCAAACAATCCGCGGATACACTTTAAAAACTACTAACGTCATCTAGTTATACTATTTCGTAGGATGGATATGGATGTACCGTTTAGAACGGGCCGTGGCTAGCACCTAGGATATATACAGAAAGCGCCATCTATCGAGCATGTCATAAACTAGAGGTGACTACATACTACATTCGGAAGAAGGAACGACCCGCGGCCTAAGGAGCATTGCCCCTAAAAGGGAAACTGGACAAGAGCAAACATTCATCTAGCATTAGGAGGCTCGAGCTCTCCTTGCTAACTTCTCGGCCAAATAGCTTCGAGATTTTCATGTCAAATCGCAGAAACCATGGTCCCGGAGAACATAAGCTATCACAAGCGAAGTTCAGGTGGTGCAAGCAGTGCAAGAAAGAGAAAATAGAGGTGTGCAGCATCAGTGTACAACTTGTTCGTTTAACAAAAAATCGTGCAAGTGCAATGATTATTTCTTGCACAATAAATTGAAATGTAGTGAAAGTAAATGCTGCCACCAGGCGACATCATCGATGAGCGTGATAGACAAATCAGCTATGGCGCGTAGTGAAGCAGGTCAGCTGTCATTCTAGATTGGTGATTTTTTCTACGCATTCCAAATTTTGTACCCGTTTTTGCAGCAGAATAATTTGCGATAATTTTGGCTCTCCGCAAATTAACTGCACCAACTAGTTCAGCCACAATTTTCACTGATTCACTGTCATTGTGTTCTTTTCTCCCTACAAATGAGAACTCCCACGTGTTGAATACTTTAAAATCATTACTTCCATCGTATATACTGTTGGTTAAATTGGTTTTCGGTAGCAAGGCATAAGGAAATTTTTTCTCAATGAATTTTGTATGCATTACCTAAGTCATCATTAAATGGCCCGGTTATTCACATACTACTAGCATCTAAATTCTTTGTATGCGCTAGATATAGGAGGAAAATGATGTTGAAAGAATTTTCTTTGCCGTTCATAATAAACATACTGAAATTTCAACACCTAAATCATCATTGGAACAGTAAAATATGTGACACGCGTGCAGTTGAAGTCACAATCACAAGGCGGAGGTGTCATATATACTCCTTATCACAATTTTTATTTACACAGAGCTCTTCTTCTAATTGTAGGTGGTTTGGAGTCCCTGAGACACCGGAAAATTATCAGATATACTGTAAAAAATACGCTGCATTGCGCGAAATCACATTAGATGCCGCCTTCCATCTCCTGAGATGGGAGTTCAACATTCCAAAAGTACTTTTTGGGGGTGCTTTGTCCCTAGGTTTAGTGACAGGAAAGTTGCCGATGCTTTGCAGGAGTTTATTAAAGCTTCAATAAGATTCAGACTGGTGAACATATTATTACTCCTGAATTACTTCTTTTCCAAATTGCTTTATTAATTCATTTCTTTAAGTGATTGATTCTGTTAATACGAGTGGGTCGTCCAATGCTCCAACACAATAAAAAGCTTGTTCTTCATCACCTAGTACTGTGGCACAACCCACTTCGGCGTAATTTTTCATCGTCATCAGCCACTGAATTCAATACAAAAATCGCTCAAAATTTGTTGCAACTGTTTAGCGGACACCATGGTTCTCCAAAAAATGACGAAGGATAGCAATGTCAATCCCGGCCTACTATGCAGAAATTATCAATATTTATGACATAGTGGTTACTCAGCAAATGTACCCAAAAAGTGTTTAAAAAAGCTCTGAAAGGCCACTCTTCAAGCTTTCGCTATGATTGTGCTGCGCGTTGCGCGCAGGCCTTGTGATTGATTGTTTTAGTTGCGTGGACTGTACAACCTTTGCTTCCTAGGAATGCACTAGAAGCACATATCTATCTGGGAGTGTTAATAAGCGCAAATACAGCCCAATCAAAAAATAAAAAGTCAAACGAAATAAGGCAATGGCTTGCGTGTGGCAAAAATGTTTTTTTTTCTTGCTGTATTAAACGGCGGTATCAGGACGCTCTGCTCTGAGCTTTACAAAAGTGTTGTCCTTCAACACACTTGAATCACGGCAGAACACAATGAAGTCTACGGATTGTTACATGCCTACTAAAGGTAAACTGCGTTGAATGAGAAAATTGCAAAATGCACAACGAGACAACGTCCAGACTAACACGTAGCGTTTTGCATAACACTGTAAAATTTGATCAGCATAATATCACAGCAACTTTCTGCGAAAGCGAACATATACAAACTGAAAACTTAGGCCTGAAGATGCACTCAATTATAAGACTAGGGCAGCGTTATTTGTCGCAGCCACGAGCCCTTCAATATTTCCAGCGTTCTTCGAAATATTCCTGCCCTTCTATATTTCGATTTTATGCTTTTGAGTACCCGAATTCTTTCACATCTCAATTGATTAAAGCTAATGAAGGAGTGCATGTTCTTACCAAGCCACGTGGCGGAAAGGATGTCTGAAGTTCATCGCAATAGTGAAGTGCCCATACATAGTGACCTCCAAGTATGGTTTTCACCCTCCAATTTTTCCCTGCGCATGACATTAATGGCACAGGAACATTAGTAGTGGCTATAAGCCCAGCTGTGTGTCAGGCATCAACTCGACAACATTCGATGATTTAAAACCAGGCATTTTTACGTTATACGGAAGTGAAAATTCTTACGTAATCACCTAAAGTACCTTTGACATGCACATTTTAAGCAGCGAGAATGCAGCGCTTTTTTTGTATAGTGTTAGAAGAGTGATGAATTATTATTTGAACATAACAAAACCGGATCACACGCAGTGTTTTTAAGGACAGAAATGCCTAAAATGTTTAGCGAACTGAGTTTTGAGTTCACGTATTGCAATATAAATTGCTCCAATTTACCGTATACTATGCTCTATATATTTAAAATCTTAAATTAGAACTTGCAAAAAATTGTTAACCATAGGAAAACGCGACAAAGCTAACCAACACCACAAGAATAGATACCAAGAGAAAAGCATACTAGGTACAGTGTTACCTGAAATTTTGTTCATGTTCGCTTCGTACGCCATGATGTCATTATAAAAAAGCTGAAAAGAAAGACAACGTTACATGCAAAGTCAGATTGATTATGGTAACTACGTCTCCTGAATAATTTCATTTCATTTCATTTCATTTTATTGAGGTTGTTATGACTACATTTCAAGAAATTCACAACACTCATTAGACCCATATCCATAGGCTAGTAGGGGGTCTAATGAGAAAAAGTATACAAGCAGAATACAATTTGTATATAAAAAAATCAGAACATCAAAAAACGTTGATTTTTCAAAAAACGAACAAAAATACAAGAAGATATCATTGGAATATAAGGTGAAGTATATGCTCAAAAAATGTATATAGAACACATTGTTGCACTTTGTTCATAAATAATGAAATAATCAAACAGACAAAACATCAAACTCTGTGTAAGGCTTAGTACATGGTACTACTATTGATCTACATGTAGCAAATATTTTTTGAGTGCGCTTCGAGAAAGCCTTAGAATCTTTAATCTGAAGTGGTATGTTATTCCACACTTTAGCTCTTACGAACTGTAGTAAGCGTTCATCATACACGTTTTTAGTAGGCGGAAGATTAAAATTCCACAATGTCATGCATCTAGTGACGCGGTACGAGGAAAAAAAGATAGATACATCGAAAGGTACACTGTGTGCAATAACATTATTGATGGTAACTGTGGTTTTATGCTGCCGTAAGTAATCAAAAGGTAGAATATCCAACTTGTGAAACAAAGACGCACTGGGTTCATTATATGTCGCATAATCTATTATTCTAACTGCATGCTTTTGTAATATTCAGATAGGATCATGGTAAGTTTTAAAGGTCCATCCCCATGAGTCTAAGCGGTATGATAGATGACTATGAACAAACGAAAAATAAAGGACTCTGAGAATATTTCTGCTAAAATAATTTTTAGCAGCCAGTAGCATACTGAAGCCAGATGCTAGCTCAGTACAAACAGAATTAATTTGTTTTTTCCAGTGTAATTGGCTGTCAAACGCAACACGGAGATATTTAAATTCTTTTACATGCTCAAAATGGCAGTTGTTTATTGTAAGTCGAAATGAGTCACAGTTTACATTTCGGTAACGGGAGTGAAAAATGATGTATTTGGTTTTCTTTGCTATAAGTGTTAATTTGTTCACTGTAAACAACTTGAAAATATTTTCTAGTTATTCTTTAGCTCTACAATCTAGATCGGCTATGTCATCGGCGGTAACTATTAAAGCGGTGTCATCAGCGTACATTAGTGATTGCAACAAATCGGAACGTTTTAGTCAGTCAGCGTAACCCTCAACGTTTGTAGATTAGCACCTGGCTTAACTCAACGACACGCCAGCGGGAGGAAGCACGTTCATAGCCGCGAGTGAAGTGATTTTGTTGCTGTATTTCACTTCAACGCAAAGCGAGTGGTGAGGCCTGCAGGCAAAAAGGTACAAGCCGTCGGCTGATCACTGTCCAAATAGGGCGCACGCGACCACGCCCAGTTGAAAATATTACACTCTGAGATCGAAACTGCGTAACGAACTGCGTCAAGAAATTGTGCTCCTACATAAAACAAAAATTCGTTTTCTGGGAACCTGACAAAAAAAGTAGCCGTGGCTTTCCTCAAGCTGCCACTGTAAGCGGGAGTGCTCACTGTAAGCGGTCGAGAACAGGACCACGTGACAAGTGAGCTTTACGACGCATGTGTGATAGGCACGAGTGTGGAAGGAAAAAAAAATCGCCATTGATAACGATACTGTGTATAATGCGAATTCTGAGGGCAGCTTTGTGTTGGGGCAAGGGCAACCGTGTTTGAAGTAGGACTTTCCGCGAAATATCGATTACGCGAGGGGTCGACAACCTGCGGCTCGTAGACGGTCCCGGCACGATGCCGGAACCTTCCTCATACAGTGAATTGGTAGTTTAGATTTTATTCTCGCTTTTCGCTTAGTAAGGATATGTGTTTTTAATCTGAGATTTTGTGAAAGACTTGCAAAAATAAACATTTTTCAATTTTAGTTTGTTTATTTCAGACGTACATACACACGAAATATGTCCAAGAGGCAAGGCAAAAGGAGACATATGTCCCCTGGCGAGGCGTTTACCCCGTATTTACATGTCCGACAGCAGAAACAAAGAAACGCAGGAAAAACATCACACGTTTTACAAATGAATAACACCTCCTGAAGCACTATGCAAATAAGAATGAAACAAAAGAAACACATTGCCATGAATATAAGAATAAAATTTTACAGACTGTAATAAAGGAAGTAAATGTCTTTACATAGGAAGTACACACTATACAAAGCAGAAGGTGAAATATGCATTTATAATACATCATTCAAAACTTACACATTTGTAGGAGACATGATAAGTATATTACTTTGTTTTTAAAACGAGAATGACATGTGGTTTCATTGGCCAGTTTAATTAAGGATGAATGGGCATTACACAAATAAAAGATTTTATAACCTAAATTTTAGTGCTTTCTATTTCAGTTTTCTACAATATTGCCAAATCAAAACATTTTCTCTTGCGCCGCCCCACCTCTCCTTCCTCCTATTTACCGTGCAGCGCCCGCTGTGTCGGCGTATAACTTAACCCCTCTTTAAAAAAAAATTCGTTCCCTCGCCTACACGACAAATCATAATTCAATGAAGTTGGACAGCAGCCACTATGCCTTTAGTCAGCTTCCTTCGGATAAGCGAGACACCCGCCACCCGTCTGCAATGTATTATCTGCACTTTGTTGAATATGCATGCGCCTCGTCACAATTGTGAATAAACACTGCACACTGGATTGGAAGGAATACATCACACACTCGTTGTGAAATTAGCATTTTACGATGAATGTTTGTTATTTTACTCGTCTGTCATGCTATAATACACAGGTTAGCGCCGTTTCTTACCCTACCTGATGCCTGTAGTGATTTTTTCTTTTGTAAATGAGTTTCATGCACCAGCGCGGATTTGCGGTAGAAAAAAAAGCTTTGGGCACCTTAAAGCTTGGCCTTTAGGAGTTCAACGCGATAGCGATATCCCGTTTCTAGTGCGTACTTCAAACAATTACTTCATGAAACCTTTTCAAACTTCCTATGCACCTACCACGTGGACTTAAGGGAACAGATATTGTAGCGTGTGTGCCTTTTGTAGTGGATGACTGGCTTCAAACCACGGAGCCATTATGATAATCACATTTTTGACGCCCGCTGGCCATGGGCACTTGTACCACGCATTTCTAGTGCAATATTTTGTATTGCATTTTGAAGCGTGTATACAGGATGCGTATGTTTGTAAAGCATGAATGCTAGTTTCACTTAGAAGTGTGGCGGCTTGGGCTAGTTGATATGGCATGACGATAGTTATAGCACGAGAACAAAACGACGACACAGAGACAAGATGGACACAAGAAGACAAGAAGGACACAAAAAGAACACGTGTCCTTCATGTCCTTCTTGTCTCTGTGTCGTCGTTTTGTTCTCGCGCTATAACGATCTTCATGCTGGTTTCACTGCATTTTCAAACAGAAGTTCTTTTCATTGTATTCGCAAGCAGAGGCTTGGCCGAGTGGTGGAACTTCTGCTTGCCACGCAAGCGACCCGGGTTCCTTCCCCACTTGGACCCAAACAACCCTGGCTTGGTCCTCACTCTAACCCACGATTTTTGCATCAATTATTTATTTTATTTGCACCGTTCTTGCGACGCATGAGATGACGATTTTTCGCTCACAACCACCGACTCCAACGCCACACTTTCTCTAAAACGAACTTTTTACTGCTATCGCGTTAAAAGTATTGAAAGCGCATCGTCCATATACCTTCGGTGTACTTTATCTTCGTTGTTCTCGCGCTGTACCAAAATCTCCATCTGTGGCAGATCACGACACTGCCACACACAGGGCCTGGTTTCAAATCCCATTCAATCCTTTCTATTTGTTGATCCTTCGGTTTTTTTTCATTCCTACTGGTTTTCTTTTCATGTCTACCCGTGATGCCACCTGTGGTGATGACAGTGCTGCTCAATGCAGAAAGGAGAATCCAAGAGCCGTGCTCCTCAAATAAAAAATAAAAAAAATGTGACGACAAGGGCAAATAAATAGGTGAAGTAGCAACTAAGTGTAATATTACACGAAAATAAGGCAGTGAATTAACTCTCTTGGATCCGATAACGCATACAAAATGCGAGTAGAAGAGATAGCTGCCACTCCAGTGAAAGATGCTCTTTTCGCGCAGTGTCTTCGTGCTTTTTTAAAAGCTAAGCACCTCTATGAGTATACAAGCGCAGCCTTCCGCTGATGCCTGTCGAGATAGTGATCGTGCCACAAAGCACGACCACGCCATTTGAATCAAAGTTCATGGTTGCTGCTCGAGTGAGCCCCTCTCCCTCACGGTGTTTCTTCACGCTCATTGTAAACGGTGGGGCATGTCCTCTCCACTTGAGCATTCGGCAGCAGGTTAAACGTGCGGCGGAATGATATCGTATGCGCCCTCCGAGTGACTGAAATGGGCGCTTCTTCTGCAGCTGCAGACACTGCTGTTTTCGCTGCTACTGCTTCTCCAGCTATATTTGAGTCGCCTTCAAGCTCCACATGAAGTTCGACCTCTTGAGGAAGTCTGCGACCTATATCTTCATCGTGAGCATGATTCCGCGAATGAGGTCCCAGCCGAAGCGTGACCACAACGTGAATGAAGCCTCCGTTGTGGCTAATTCACCCCAGACTTCGTAAATAGAACGTGCTTAAATATCTTGTAGGACACTTTGTCACCTGTGATGTGGTCTTTGTTGATCGTGCATTTAAGGGTTCCCTTATGTCTGCGCGTGTTCAGGTGTTCTACATGTGGAGCATAAATTGGCATCAGACGTTGCTACACGTCGGTTCAGTGTTCCTGCATAGTGGCATACCTTGCATGCCGGCTTTGTAGGCTTGTGGGGATAGCAGACGGCTTCCGCTGCAATAAAATGGACGTACCTGGACAGTGCCCGTGCAGGTACTGATGGATGTATTTGTACATCCGAGCGTGCGTGCCCGCTCATTAGTCAGC